TGACCACCTCCATGACCTAAACACTACCCAGAAAGATAGGCAAAAATATCTCACTCGCGAGGAGATCAATTCCGTGTCATTCATGTCAAGAAAATATTCAAACCCGACCCCTATCCAATATCCACCCACTCTATGGAGATGATGATTACAAAATATAATTACCATAGATTAGAACTGATTAACATACATGCAATAGATATTAAGAATAATGTTTATCACGTGTGCAATATTTGAGATAATCGTGAAATTGAATGCATTTTATTCATTCAAATTCGGATTAAAAATATATTTGGGTCGTGACTAAAATATATTTAATTTATCTTGAAAATGAGAATTAATTACAATAGATTTATCGATTGTCAAGAATGTATGAATGAAACTAAATACGTAACTGAGAATTGAAATAGATAATAATAGGTGGATTCGTAATCCAATACACTCATTCTACACCAAATTTTACATGCTTTCGTATATTAATTTAGAATAATTACAAAGTCACATTTATTTCGTTTTCGCACCTTGAATCTAATTTTAAACCGGCACACTTTAATTGAATTTTATTCCCTTGGGACGATATACATTACTCATTATATATTATTTATCAACAATTTCGCACGCTTGCGAGTTTCGCTCGAACAAGTTTTTGGCGTTACCGTCGAAGAATAATTTATTGAATTTGAGTTTGTTAATTATCTTTTAGATTTGAAGTTTTACAGGTTTTTGGCCATTTATTGAACGAACTAAATCTCCAGTTTCGCTCTTTTCAAGAAATCATAATTTATGTAAGATTCTCACGAGATCGAACTTCTTCCGATGGATCCTAAAATAAAAAAAAACTTTCAGACAACGAAGAAGAGAGCAGGGGGAAGTAAGGAAAATGGCAGAAAATCAAAATCCAAATTAGGTTCAAAATCCATTACCACCTCCTTAGTCAAATCAGCTGAGGACAGTAGCAAATGATGGAGAAGCTTTAACGAGAGATTATGTAAATCACATTCATGCTCCTATGCAACCACCTATCATATATCCACCATTTGGGCATGCTAACTTCCACATTAAACTTGACGCCATCAACTTATTTAAGAATCATCATGACATCATGTTTTCTAGAAGATTAACTGAAAATCCCCATGAACTTATTCAAGCTTTCTTGATGTTGTACGATATGATTAATCACAAAGGCATGTCTATTGACGCTTTTTGACTACGCCTATTCCCTCACACTTGAAAGGAAGGCGTATGAGAATGACTAAATTCACTAATTCCTGGAAGCATAGTTTCATGGAATGACATGGTACAAAAATTCACTTTAAAATTATTCCCACCTTCTCGAGCCATCATATCAGAAATGAAGTCTATACTTTCAAGTAAAGAGACTTTGAGAGCTATCCAAAATCTTGGGAAAAATTCAAAGACTACTTCAGAATGTGCTCCAATCTGAACATTTTAAATACTCTAAGATTTGCATATCTATTCAGGCTTGAGACCTGAATCCATAAGATAGCTAATGTTTTTTATTTTTATTTTGAATGAACATGACACTTGAACACATTAGACAAGGAAAAATACATAGCAAGCGATCCAACACCTTCAGCCAATTCATCGACCACCTTCAAATTGATATTAGGGGAGTACTTAATTCCCTTTCGTCATTAATTTTTTTATATCGCTTGTTATATTTTTAGACATTGAGAATAACGTCTGTTATAAGTTTGAGGGTGGAAAACATCGAGTTTTAATTTTTTTGTTTGTCTTGTGTGCTTATTTGTGTGCAAAAAAAAAAAAATTAGAGTTCATTTTCAGATTTATTTCGCCTGTTTATATATTTTTGCATGCTTGTGTGGGTCAGATAATCTGCCAATGATGATGTAAATATATTGGAACATAGAGTTGAACTGTAAATTATGGATAAGTTATACATTAAGTTAGTTTATTGCTTATTCATGAGGAACTTGATATTATTGAGCAATAGATTTGTGTTTGTTTCATAAAGAAAGATGTTGATTCAAATTTTTGAATATGTTAAAAAATAGTGGACCTTAGATGCTAAATCCAAGTAACCACTAAATTGTACATATTTAAACTAATTTTAGGATAGTTTGAGGATAATTGAGATGTTGTAGGAAAACATTGAGATATATGTGGATTTCATGTGCGTAAATTTTATATGGATTGTATAAGGCTTACCAAATGAAAATTAAGTGAAAATCTTAAGTTAGTGATCGATTTTTGAGAATAAGTGTTTAATAAAGAGCATTGCAAGGATCATTACATAAAAAAGAGAAAAAAATATTGTCTTATTGTGAAACTTTCATTCGTATCTTTATGACTAGAGTGATTAAACCTGCAAGAGTATCTAAAAATTTGGTGCTCTATGGTCATCTAACTTGAGAGACATCGATTGAAAACTTGCTATATGGGCCATTTAGAAAGTTTAATGGAGAGGAG